AGAAGAGGTAGGCAGTACAATACTATTAGCTGCATTTTTCATGAGGCACTTCATGAGGTGATTCAGAGAGCTAAAAAGTCACTTGGACAAGGTCACACAGATAGAAATGGGGGGGGTGGAGATGAGGCTGTCTAGTTTTCTTGATATGTCTTGCAGAAACATAAAATCTATTTCTCTAAGGGGGCTTAATCCTAGTGGCTTAACATCTGAATCAAACATAATAGCTTTTCAAAAGCACTGTCTCATATCTAACTGTATTGGCCCTCACAACAACCCCATAAAGGTAGGCTAGTTAGATATTGTTTATTAGATATCCATTAGTCGTGTCTGACTCTTCATGACCCCATTGGTTGGTTGGTTGGTTTTTTTTCCCTACTTGGGGTTTTCTTGACAAAGATAATAGAGTGGTTTGCTGTTTCCTTTGACAGATGAAGAAAGTCAGGCAAACAGGGTTAAGTGACTTGCCCAGGGTCACACAGCTAGGAAATATCTGAGGCCAGAGTCGAACTCAGGTACACCTGACTCTACCATGCCACTTCACCTTCTTTAGGGAGGGTTCACAGAATAAGTGACTTATCCAAGGACACCACCAGCAAAGCCCAGAATAGCACTCCAGCCTCCAGACCACTGACCTATTGCAACACCCTCCTTCCTGATCCCTTTGTTGAATCGTGAATTTAGAACCAGAAGAGACTTCAGAGGACATAAAGTCTTCATTTTACATATGAGAAAACTGGGGCCCAGAGTGGTGAAGTGACTTGTCCAGGGTCACACATCTGGTAAATTTCTCAGGCAGGGTTTGGCCTCAGCTCTTCAGGACTCTAAATCCAGTGCCTTCTCTCTTCACCATGCTATTTCTCTCCTTACTTGTCCCCATTTCCCTTCAGCCTGCCTGCCCTCAGCTCCTGAGGAATGTCATCTTATGAAGATTAAAGGAGATCAGAGGATTACAGATTTCGAGCTGGAAGGAACCTTGGAAGCTATCTAGCTAAATGACTTATCCAAGGTTACACAGTAAATTAGTAGGAGAGTGGGGATTTGAACGCAGGACGCTTGACTGTAAATCCAGCCATCTTTCCACTGTACCCTTATCCCTCCCTGTGAGATACGAGAAGTCACTGTGGTAACAGCTGTAACACACCAGTTATGATTTCACCACTTACCTGGGCAAAAGTGGGAATAGAAGCCTTCCTTCTGAAGCATGATGAGCAGGGAGCCCCAGCCAAACAGTACAGCAGAGAAGAAAAGGTTCTCCACCATGGCTGTGCAGGCCATCCACCATCGCCGCCGGTAGGCCTGGGCTAGTGTGGGGGCCATGCTGCTTTCTAGGCTGCCAAGGAACAGGGCAGTGAGTACGAGGCCTCTGAGATGAGGCTGGAAGTACCCCAGATGCCAACCTGTCTTCCTTCCTCCTTTCTGATAAAGAATCAGAGGCCACGTGGGTACCCTCAAGAGCTTTTACTCTGGGCCTAGGACTGTCCCACAGTGCCAGTGTAAGGAGAGGGGTGATGTGGCACTGCCAGGGCTGCACAGGGAACTCTTCAGGACTCCTTCTGAGATAAAGGCAGTCCTGTGTGCCTGTTCTGGCCCTCGGCCATTCCCTACCCCTCAGGAATGATGGGATCTCCCCAGGTCTCTGGAAACTTGCCACCCTCCTCCCCCTAGGAATGGTAAGATCTCCCCAAATCCTTGAAAACCAGCTGACCCCTCCTTGTGGGAAGAACAGCCTAGTGTCCACAAGGGTCAACGGGGGCCAGAGAGAGGGCTGGGGCCACCCACATCCCTGCCTTCCAACTGCCTCGCCCAGAAGCACCCCTAAAAGGCACTAACGAAGAGGAAAGGAAAGTGTGGACGAGTCCCAGCCCCCTCTTCCTGTTGTCTCTTGGCTACAGCACCTTCCTCCAAGTGTGTTTGTTCCCTGCTGCCCAGGTCAGCTCTCCCCACCCGTGTGCCCCTCCCCCACTACAAGCGCCTCCCTCCCCCCACTGCCCCCACTCCACCCAGGGAACGGGCCTCCTTTGCTCTCTCCTCAGAGACCCGTGTCCCAACTGTTAGGCTTCCCCGGCTGAGTCTGCAGCTGCCACGTGGATGGGGACCTGACTTGAGTTCCTTGCCTCCTCCTCCCCCCATCCCAGCTCTCCTCACCCCCCTCAACCCCACTCACCCCTCTGTGACTCCCCTGCGTGGTCCGGCACCCCACGCCGCTGTGCCGGGGAGGGGGCTTGGGGCTAGGGCAGAAGTCTGTCAGCCGCTGACTTTATAAGGGCGGTTGGACCAGTGAGAGAAAGACAAGACCCGTGTGTGTGTGTGTGTGTGTGTGTGTGTGTGTGTGTGTGTGTGTGTG